TGTGTGTGTCAGTGTGTGTGTCAGTGTGTGTGTCAGTGTGTGTGTCAGTGTGTGTGTCAGTGTGTGTGTCAGTGTGCTTACGGTGGCTCCAGGCCTGCAGGAAGCTGTTCCTCCTGCTCCCAGGTTAACATGTCCACAGCGTACTTCAACATGATGAAGAAGATGCTGTAAGCCCTGGACACCATGTCAGGAGGCAGCTGAGACACAGGATCCTGTTGGACAACCAGCAGAGTGTTCAACCCTCACAGGTCAGAGGATGACCACAGCCTCTCTGCCGTCATCCACACTCTAATCCTCTCAGTCCACTGACAGAGTGCCACTCACCTCGTTGTCTCTGCTGCCGACTGCAGGAGTGTGTTTCTGACAGCATGGACCTGTCTTCCAGGCTTCAGGATCTCCACAGTCACAGAAACCTCCCCCTCCAGACGTTGTCATCTAAAAACACATCCTGACCATGAGTGTACACACACCTGTTTGTGTTTGTGAGTTTCACTGTGTTACAGTGTGTGCTGCTGTCACAAAGGGCTGCAACCAGTATGAAAACACGTAGGGATGGGTACAGAATTCAATACTGACTGAATACTATCAGTACTACAGAGTATCTATTCACACAACATATGTTTCAGTACCTAAACACATCGTTGTGACTGTACTGGTGTAAGAGTGGTGAGTTCTCCATGCTTGTCCTGAACGCAGCATCACACAGGAGTGTGATGACATCATCAGCTGCTTCAGTCTGAACGTAACATGAAAGTGTGTGTTGTTACACTTAGATTAACTGCAGACACACACAGTGTGTAACATGAAAGTGTGTGTTGTTACACTTAGATTAACTGCAGACACACACAGTGTCTTACTGCCAACATACAGGGTTTCATTATAAATCTCCTTAGTGTTCACATGACTGGTTGTCATGTGAAAACAGGGAGTTGAAGACATTTATTGGGGTTTGTTTATGTACTGATCTTAATTACAGTACACCTGGTATAGTTTTATTATTATTAGAACTGTAATCATTGTTAAATGTGACTATTTTGCTTAAATTGATGACTTTATATAAGTACATGCCTGAACACAGATTCAACACATAACTGAACTGCTTTATGAATACTTTTCACATTGAAAAACTCAAGTATTGGAGTATTTTATATCTGGTTACAAACAAGTAATAACAATAAGGTAAACAAAGGTTTAAATTTCTTTTCCCTGCAGTCACACAGAGAGCTGCAGAAGGTTTGAGGTCAGACTTATAATCACTTATCATTAATGATTTATCATATTAACCATGGTCCATTATATTATTGATCTTTTCTGTGAGGAGTTTTTAACATTAACATGTAATCAGGCAGACATACAGTTTATACACATATACATACATTCATTATTATCAATATTTAATATTTAATTATTACTATATTTAAAGGTGAGACGTGTAAATTTATGTTTGTATCAAATAAGTAATCTGTCTTGTCTCTCAGCCTCATAAACGTTGGTGGTCCCTGCTGTAGTTGTGTTTAACTACTTTCAACCAGTGTTTTACAAGAACACATGTTAGCCTTGTGGTGAAAAAATATGATATAATCCTGCAGAACTGCTACGTTCACTTTAACTGACCTGTTCTGACCTGTGTGTCACTGATTACTGCCACTTTACTTTAACTGACCTGTTCTGACCTGTGCTGACCTGTGTGTGACCTGTTCTGACCTGTTCTGACCTGTGTGTCACTGATTACTGCCACTTTACTTTAACTGACCTGTTCTGACCTGTTCTGACCTGTTCTGACCTGTTCTGACCTGTTCTGACCTGTGTGTCACTGATTACTGCCACTTTACTTTAACTGACCTGTTCTGACCTGTTCTGACCTGTGTGTCACTGATTACTGCCACTTTACTTTAACTGACCTGTTCTGACCTGTTCTGACCTGTGTGTTACTGATTACTGCCACTTTACTTTAACTGACCTGTTCTGACCTGTTCTGACCTGTGTGTTACTGATTACTGCCACTTTACTTTAACTGACCTGTTCTGAC